CATTCCCTGGAAAAAAAAAAAAAAAAAAAAAAAAAATTGAAGCCTTTCCCATCATGCATGGTGGTACACACCTATAATCCCAGCACTTGGGAGGCTGAGGCAGGAGGATCACCATGAGATTGAGGCCAGCCTGGGCTCCATAGTAAATTCAAGGCCAGGCTGAACTACATAGAAAGACTCTGTCTCAAAAAAGTTGCAACACTCCCATAAAAGAAGCAGGAGTTGGGGAAGACAGACAATCAAGGGATACTAAGTCAAAAAGGATAAGTAAACAGCAATATGAAAAAAGCACAGGAGGAAAAATCGCAACCTTCCCCTGCTGGTAGCCAGGTGTATGATCTTGGAAATCCAGTTTACGCCTCAGGACCTAAATCTTGTTGTTTACAAAGTGGGAAGGTTAGAGAACTTCTAAGGTTCCTTACTGAAATCCTGACTGAAATCCTACTAGGACGAGAAGCCAGCTTCCCTGTCATCCCTCTCCATAACAAGCACTGTAAAAATCAAAGACACAGTAACACTACGGGGTCACCCGAGTAAAATTTGCTTGCAAAACTGTGCTTCCCACCACCCAGCACAGCATGGGCACTGCACAGGCTGAGGGCTGGACCCGCGTTCGCACAGAGACCCCAGGGAGACACAGAATGGAAGACAAGAAAATGCGCAAGGGCCCCATGACTTTAGCAGGTGGGGACTCACTCATGCAAAGACTCAAACTCACACGTGGAGAAACAGAAGATCTAGACAAGTAACAACTCTCCAAAACAGAAAGTACTCAAACCAGAGAGCATTCATGGGTGATGGCTCCCAAGCATTTAAGAAGCAATAGCAATTTCCATAATCTCTTCCAAAACACAGGACACTTTCTCATTCATTCTGTGAGGCTGGCGTTATCCAAAAACCAAAAGCAGACATTATAAGAAAGGAATATTGTAGGCCAGTGTCTCTCATGAACGTGGTATAAACTCTGCAGCAAAGGCTGAGTGTGGTAGTACACACCTGCAATCCCAATACTCAGGAGGCCGAGGCAGGAGGATTTCAAGTTTGAGACCAACCAGGCTATCCAGCAAGTTCAAGGCCAGACTGAACTACACAGCAAGACCTTGCCTCAAAAACAAACAAACAAACAAACAAACAAAAAACCTCAACAAAATATTAACAAATTGAATTCAACAATATATAAGAATTATACACCACAGCCAAGAGGGATTTATACCAAGTATACAAAGCTGGTTGTATATTTGAAAATCAGTGTCATCCGTGACATCAACAAGCTAAAGAAAAAATATAGACCATACCAGCTGATACACACACACACACAAAAAGAGCACTTGACAAAATTCATCTCTACTCATGATTAAAAATGTTCTCAAACAAATTAGGGAGACTTCCTCAACTTGATAAGAAAACCTAAAAAAGCACACAGCAAATCTCATACTTACAGTAAGAAAGCAGATACTTTCCTCATAAAATCAAGAACAGGCATGTTCCTCTCCCTAATCCTATTCAACACATCACTAGAAGTCCTCACCAAGCCGGGCGTCGGGGCACACGCCTATAATCCCAGCACTTAGGAAGCTGAGGCAGGAGGACAGCTGTGAGTTCAAGACCAGCCTAGGCTACATCGTGAGTTCCAGGTCTGTCTCAACTACACAGTGAGACCCTGTCTCAAAAAATAAAAAAAAATAAAAAAAAAACAAGTCCTCACCAAAGTAGTAAGGCAGGAAAATAAAAGGTACAGATTGGGAAGGAAGAAATAATGCTGCCTTTGTTCACAAATGACATGATTTCCTATGTGGAAATTCCCAAAGGATCAACAAAAAAAACCTCCTGAAACTAATATGCAAGTACAACAAGGTTTTAGGACAGGAGGCAAATATACAAAGTCAGCTGTTTTCCTATGCACCAGCAATTAATTTGAAATTTTTAAAAACACTATAATTTAGAATAGCTTCTCCCCCAATGAAATAGTTTGATAGACACCCAACAAAATATGTACAGGATTAATATGTAAAAACCATACAACTCTAGAGGAAAAAAAAAACAAAGACAAGTCAAGGTTGGGGATGTCGCCTAACATGCCCAAGGACCTGATTTGATCCTCAGCACTGAAAAGTAAAAGAAAAAAAAAAAGTCCATATATGACACGTTAGGGCCGGGGATTTAGCTTAGTGTTTCTGCCGCCTGCCTTGCAAGCTCAAGGACCCGAGTCTGATCCCCGGTACCAAAAATTAAAAAATAAAACAAAACAATGAAGCGTTAATCCAAGTACATACACTAAGTGATTCAATACTTTAAAGTCAGTTCTTCTCAACTTCAATCAAAATCCCAGCAAAGGCTGGGGTTTGTAGCTCAGGGGCACCACACCTGCCTGGCAAGTGCGAGGTCCTGAGTTCGATTTTCTGGAACCTGAAAAAAAAGTCTCAGCAAATTAATGTGTATCTAGTAATGAGGGAGGAGAACAGGGCTGGGGCAAAACTGGTCAAACAAGTGGGAGTAAACCGTCGAAGTCAGGAGACCCAGGCACAAGCACAGAACAGAGAATCTGGATGACTCCGCAGTATGAACACTGCCCGTGGAGCCAACTGAAAAAGTGATGTTTTCAATTCTTCATTTACATTTACCTGGCACAAAACCAAGCAAGTCTTCAACGGGACAGTTTAAATCTGGTACCAAGTGAGCTTGGCTAGGGCAACTTTCCCCTTGGTCTGTACGAGTGAGAAGCCAATCTAGGAATTCCAGATACAAAGGAGCCTGTTGAGGGCGGACTGAGCGTGTCAACTTGAGAAGTCTGATGGAAGCTGTAAAGGGGAAATGATGGAGGACAGTTCGGCCTCTGCTCCTTCCGAGGAGCTCAAGTCTCCGCCTTCATACTCAACGTCATCTCCCGGCTTCCGGCGCAGGCCCTTTGGCTTCCGGCGCAGGCCCTTTGGCTTCCGGCACAAATCCTTCCGGCTTCCGGCACAGATCCTTCTGCCTTCCGCGTAGACTCTCCAGTCTCCACCGCAGGCCCTCCGGCCGCACACAGGACACTGCAGTGAGCTCCAGACCTTCGAATGGATCCTCTGGTTCCAGTGTGCAGTCAGCCCCTCTGCACTCTTCCTCTTCCGACCCCAATGGGGGGGGGGTCATTATAAGCCAACCTTGTAAATTCGTATATATCTGTATACCTTATGTAAATACTCTTATCTCTAGAACATACTGATACAGAGCCCCTCCCTTATTCTGTAGCCACTTTGCACCCCAGCTCTCACTCTGCAGAGCGGACTTCTTTCCCACCTTCAATAAATATACCTCCCGCTCCCTTTGCTATGTGTCTGATCCAGTTCTTTGTTCGGTACACCAAGAACGTGGAAAGAATTTCCTAGAACTCTAAAGTCAGTGAGAGTAACAAATTCTAAAGTTCATTCTAAAGTTTTTCATATAGTAATGAAAAAAAAATAGTTGGAAGACTTACACAACTCAATCTCAAGACTTACAAAAGCTACAGAAATCAAGACAGCATGGCACTGGCCAAAACAACAGGTGCAGTGAGCCCCAGAACAGAATGCAAAGCCCTTAAATTGACCAACACACATAAACACCGTGAGAGCCCAGGCGATGCAGGGGACAGAAGGGACCGAGTCCGTGAGCAAAGAAACAAGGCGAGGCACAGACTTGACACTGTCACAAAAGTTAGCTCAAAATGGATCATGGCTCTAAATGCAAAGAACAGACCAAACCTTGTGGAAGAAAACACAGAAGATAATCTAGGTGATCTCGGTTTGGTAATGTTTTCAGATAAAATATCAACAGGATGATCCATGAAAGAAAAGGTGATCAGTCAGATTTTATTAAAATTAAAATGCTCTGCAAGACAATGGTAGAATGAAAAGACAAACTGCAGATTCCTGATTAGGTTTGGAGAAAATAGTAGCAAAACACAGAAAGGACTTGTAATAGAAATATACAAGGAACTCTTGCCAATGATCTGAGGAGACATCAGCTGTTAAATATGGAATCTGTGTGGCCTTTGTCCAAAGTCCCCAGGCCAGAGCTTCTAAAATCCCTGGAATCTCCCAAGGGACAGTTATGTCTGTCATTCATGAGCCCCTCAGGTCCTACCTGAGTTTACGCTTACCAGGAGTTTTGGGCCCCCAGGGCTTCAGCATGGGGCTGCACTTTCCAGAAAGACCACCCACGTGGTCAGAAGGCTGGGGCTTTGAACCCTATGAGCTCAATTCAGTGGCCATGAGTCACTTAACCATACCTACAGGAAGAAACCACAGCGACAATGTGGGGCAGCCAGCCCAGGGGAGTCTAGTGAAACTGGGGCATGTTTCGTGGCTCAATGTGGCCCCACTTCCCTCGGAGAGGGCACCAGAGCTCTGTCTGAGATCCTCTCAGCCGCTCTTCATGTGGCTAATCCTGCCTTATCCTATAAAATAGATCTCTGAGTACACTGCTTTCTGGACCCACAAAGGTAGGCCAATGTCATTGATTAAACTCTTCAATTAAGCCTGATTCCCGGCTTCCTCTGAGTAGAATGCTCTCCAGACACACTGCAGGCAGTTTCTCACCTCCCTTCAGTCTATCCAAACCCCCACAAAATCTTTACCACTTCGCTGCCTCCAGGACTGATGGGCATCAGAACACAAAGCAACCTGTGCGCTAGGAATGAATGTTTCCCGGGTACCAGCAGAAAATCAATCAAGTCCCCAACTATGACAGGGTGCCATGCAGAATCACTTCCACCCTCCCGGAGCACCTCAAGGTGCTCACTACTAACTCTGAGTTAGGCAGAGTCAGAGATCTGTCCTCCTCTTCTGCCCCACAAAGGCTTCCGAATTGAGCTTTCAAAGGGGAGGTTTTATAGCTCAGCCAGTTCACAGCCAATTTAAAGCTGACCACCAAAGAAAGAAGTTGACAGACGGACCGGCCCAGGCGCCCCAAAGATTCCACTGAGGCAGAAGCTGAGACGCTGTCTCTGAGGAGGAGCAACAGTCCGAGTGGAGATTTTTATACACCGACCCTCTGTGGGTCCCACTCTATCAAACCCAGTTCCTCTCTTCACACACACCCCGAGCCTTATTTGCTGGGAACAAAACAGGTCCTCCCAAAAAAGAACTGAAGGTCTCCTGCCAACTCATGTGAGACACACTAAAAACAAGTGTGACGGGGCCAGGGATTTAGCTCAGTGGTGCCGCCTCCTGCCTCACAAGCACAATCCCCAGCACCAAAAAACAAACAAACAAACAAGTGTGACATTTTTGGAGGCAATATTTCAACTCTCCTCAGAAACAGGTACTGACCTATCCACCCCAAAACAAGACCCCATCCGCAAAGTTTTACAAAATAATGTTACACCAAAACTAACTGCGGAGTCCAGAGAAGAGTTAGAGGAAACTTAGGACAAATCACTCCGGGAGTGTTATTTACTCTTCACACCTAGATTACTATGCACTCCTCTAGCCCCAGAAATACTCCATCATGGTTAAATGTTACACAATATTATATTAAACCCTGTCGTGACTCTGGGATAAACAACTGTGCTAGAGAGGAAGGGAGCCAACTTACGTGAGCTCCTGAAGGGCCTGTTTTGATCTCTGTAGGTCCGGCAGGTAGTGAGAAAGCAGACCCTCCGCCAGCTGCTCCACGGCTCTGTCTTCCACCATCAGGTCCTCAATTAACCCTTCATCAGGAGAAGCATCGCCCACCCCTGTTGCAAGTTAAAGTCAAATATAAGCAGCTCTTAAACTGCTTATAGTAGTAAAGGAGGCTGGGGAGTCCTGGGTAGGAAGCAGGAAGTGGGCAACAGTCACTAAATTGAAGCATTCTTGCTTTACTGGCATGCACCATTATGACTGCCTTCACTTCTCTTATATACAGTCATCTTAATTCATGGATCTTTTTTTCTCCACCCCAATCTTCTGGTTAATTACTGAGTAAGTTTCAATGCTTTTATAAATATTTAGCTATTAAGAACCAGGTAATTCTGGGCATGGCAGCACATCCCTGGAATCCTAGCACTTGGGAGGCTGAGGCAGGAGGATTACAGAGAATTTAAGGGCAACCTGGGCTACACAATGGGCTCAAGCCCAGCCTGAACTACACAATAAGACCCTATCTTGAAAAAAAAATACATACATACATATATACATACCAGGTAAATTATTGTGGCAGAGGAAATGGTCCTCACCTAATTCATACAAAAAGCATTTCTTGAACATCTATCTTGAACACTCTAGTCTCTGAAGTTTCCACAATAAATGACAAGTCCCTGTCCTAGAGGGGACAATGCTGGAGAATCGCAGAGCATGACAAGGGTCGTTACTGTAACAGAAACTACTACATAAGTCTGGGAAAGACTTTTAAAAGGAAATGTGGGCATTTGAGGTGAGACCTAAAGAACAAACAGATGTCTTCTTTTCTTTTTTTAAGTGTTACACACTGTTAAAACACTGAAGAGAAAAGCACAAGCTGAAAAATAAAGTTCTCACTCTGGAATTATGGAGTCAATTTGAAGATTCTTACAGAGCCTTCAGAACCTGTCTTTGCATATCCATGCAAACAGTATTTAGCATAACTCATACTCTTCTGTGTCTCAGCTTTCTACAGCAACATCTGTGGATATACTACATTCTTTTTAATAGAATTCTATCATAGTTTTTAAACCAGTCCCCGATGGATGAGTTATTTTCACCTTTTGCTATTCCAAACAATGCTGTAGCACAGTTCCAGGCAAAGTGCTGCACATTTGCCTCAATTTCTGTGGGATCAACTCTTAAGTAGAATCTGGGACAAAAGGTGTGTGTGTGTGTGTGTGTGTCCCTTAAACAGACATTGCAGCACTGCCCCTCCCACGGTTCCAATTTACAACAGTCATTGGCGGTCTATTTCCAAACGGGGAAGAACTCCATGTGGAGAAAGGAGAGGATGCAACACAGGTAAAGGGTAACGTGAGCGCAGGTGGAAATGTAGGTTTGCTCTGAAAGCTGCTGCAGGGGGGCATCGGGCACACACAGCATGGCGAACTGAGGCCCATGTTAACGGGAGTGATTTTTTAGCAAGTGGCGAGGATCCACTTAAGGGATCTGAACAAGAGAACAACATGACTGCAGCTTTATCTTGGGGTCAGTGATAAAACAGCAGTGGGACAGACAAACTGAAATAGTACAAGACTGGAGGTGGAGTAGCCTTACAACCGCTGGGGTTAGGGGGTAAACAGAGGGGAGATGGAAATTGTACGGTAAAATCCCACAAGCAGTGGAGGGCCGAGGCCAGGGAGAGCCCGGCGCAATTTCGGATTCAAGTGAAAATACCTTGGCACCATTAACAGGGTCAGGCATCGGCTTCGATTTGCGCCCCTGCCGTGTCAAAGTATCCATCAGAGAGCGGCAAGCAAGAGCGAGGAGAAGAGCCCAAGCCTGCCTGGGAGGAGCTCTGTTTATAGCAGTGACTTAAGAAGGTGTGAGGGGGAAGCGTTCACCGAGGAAAAACACTACCAGGAGAGCGCTGAGAGCACTACTCTGGGGCAACCTCGGTTTTTCTGGAACAAGAAGTCATACTTTGCTAAGGTAGAGCGAAGCCTTTTTCAACCAGCTCGTATGAACCACAGAACACAGAAGACGCTCCGGGCCGCATCTTCTCAATTCTCCCCGGGACGCTGTCTGTCCAGCCGACGCCCGCGGGCATCGGGGATGAGGATGGTTTAGAGGACACCAGCAGGACACAGCGGCTGACACAGAGTAGTCAGCTGAATCGTAAACTGAGCCTCTTTCTGACAAACTCAATCCCAAAGTCATCAATGCAGGAGCCAGGAGCCAGGAGCCTGGTCGACCCCGCTCTGAGCGCCGACTGCTCCCAGCTTCGCTCCCCTCCCGGCTTCCGTCCCGTCTCGCGCGCGCGGACACAGC